AACAGGTAGACTCTTTCATTTCTTTTTCTTTGTTTACCACCAGCCAAAATCTGTATTGGGATGTCTTTGGTTTGTGACTTTATTCCAGCTTGCTTCTTAAATAGTGTCCTCTGCTATAGGCCGCCTACAGCAATCTTGGTTTTGACATACCCCATTGTGTTACTTCAGGCAAATATCTAATGATATTTGTGTCCCAGTTTTTACAAACATATAAAATATGTACCATCAAATGTTGGAGGCGGAACTGCTTGTTCGTCCCAGCCACCCAGAACTGAAATAATCACACAGAAACTGTCTTAATTAAATCACTGCTTGGCCCATTTGCTCTAGCTTATTACTGCCTAACTTTTACGTCTTAATTTAACCCATTTCTATTAATCTGTGTATCACCACGAGGTTGTGGCCTACCAGCAAAGTTTCAGCAGGTTTATCTCTAGAGGCAGATCCATCGCGTCTCTGACTCTGCCCTCTTTCTCCCAGCATTCAGTTCCATCTTCCCCACCTACCTAAGTTCTGCCCTACCAGCAGACCACGGCAGTTTCTTTATTCATTAATGGTAATGACAGCGCACAGAGGGGATTCCCACATCAATAAAATAATACCCATCTCAGAGGGTTACAGTTGTCCAGTGAATTCAATGGTGCTAGGTTCATAGAATGGACTTGAAGAAGAAACTCACTAAGTCTAAACACCTGATGTGGCAGGTACTATTTACTAGGGGCTCCATTTCAATTTAAGTTTTAATTAAAAAGTAAATAAAAGCTGGGCCTGGTGACCTTCATTTTTAACCTCAACACTCGGAAGGCAGAGGCAGGTGAATCTGTGAGTTCGAGACCAGTTTGAGGTTAACGAAAAGAGTTCCAGAACAACCAGGGTGCACAGTACAGTCCTGTCTCAGAAAAACCATGAAATGAGATGAGACCAAGCTTCCTGTAGTAAAAACATCGGGCACAGCTCAGCCGCTACATAGCTTCCTTGGCTACCATACTGCATGCCCCAAAGATAGAAGAAGCCCTATGAGAAAACACTGTGCCAAGTGGACCTATGGAAAAATCCCCTATCTTCCTTGACAATGTGCTTTGTTTAGAATCTCAGAGTGGCCTGAGCCAACCCAGCCCTCTATGGCTCAGCCCTGATGCTTGAACCTTCTTCTTTCCTGAATGCCACTTATCATCAGGGGTTGCTGAGTGGAGTACCATCTTTTCACCATGATAAATCTATGGGTTAACTATTCCTGTGCAGCTCTGGGTTTCTGGATTGTTCACAGAAGCCCCAGATAATGTTACACTGTGCCCTCATCTCTGATGTCCCTGGAAACACTCGAGTGTGTAGTATGTCACTGCTTACTATAGTCACGAATTAAGTTCATGTCTAAAGACCCCGATGATCTGAGGCTCTGTGTTGCGCTAAAATGAAGTTATCTGCTTTGGCCCCATGTGAAATAGTGAACCTCAGACTGAGTTTCCTTTAAACCTCGTTGGTTGCCTAGGCAGCTTTAGGGATGGATTTTCTTGACCAGCACCTGTCTCAAACTGCTTTGGCTTGTTCACACAACTGTTGGCCACACACTCCTTACAGTGAGTCTCGGCAATGGGGTCTTTCCCCAAAGGCTCTGTGGACCGATCACCTTCGGCTCTTTACTAGTTACTTTCCTGTGGCTGGCATGAGACTGTAAACAAGCCAGCCTCTCAGATGAAGAGGTTACATGGGATTTTGGTTCCAGAAGGAGTTTCATCGTGCCGTCAAACAGGCATGGCACAGGAATCTGAGTGTTCACATCCTCACCTGCGAGCTTGAAGCAGAGGGCAGAGTAGAAGTTAGGGGAAGCTATGAATTCTCACATCCTGCCCTCAGTGACCTTCTTCCTCCAGGGAGGCTGCGTCACCTCCACAAACAGCATCACCAGCTAGGATTCAGATATTAGAGCCCATGGGGGACACTTCTCACTCAACCCCCCACAGGGCAGTGTAGCAGACAACTGTTTCTCGGAGCTTGATTTACCACTTTTGTAGCTCTTCAAAGTCAACTGGTGACCCACCAACGTTACTTATTGATATCAGTGCACTGGGGTGTGCGTGTGTGTGCATGTGTGTGTGTATGTGCATGTGATATTGGTGGTGTCCATATGCCCCAGCATGTGTGTAGAGTAGAGCTCAGCAGACAACATTTGGGTGTTGCTTCTCGCTACTCTGAACTTTGCCACTCCAGCCACATCACACACCGCAACAATGTTATTTCCAAATGCCTTTCCATCTCCTCTTTCCACCTTTAGCATCATAGATCATGGATTTGCTGTTATGGCACAGGCAATTGTCAAATTTTGTATATCAAACGTTAGTGTCCCTTGGAAAACCGTGACGCTATCTGAACACAGTGGGTGAGAGCTTTGACATGCTTGGTATAACCAGAGCTTGGAGTCAGTGCCACTTCGGTGCCTCATCCTCGAAGCAAGCCAGAGGCAGCTCACCGGGCGCCCTCCTGCAGTTTTCTACTTGACTTGCAATGCTTGACAGCCTTCTGCAGAGATAACACGTTTCCCTGACAGTTTTCAGCTTGGAATCACCGGTGAAAGGTTTCTGCAGTGTGCAGGGTTCACTCAGTGTAAGTTGATTCATGACCTTGGCCTTCCCGAAGCTGATTAGCAATCTCTGTCATCCTGCCGACTTCCTAGAGTAATGTGCTACCTGTTGCTCAGACTGTGAGCTCCTGGTTTTGGAGCAGAGCCAGTAGCACGCCGATACATCTGTCTGCAGTGGAGAAGCAGGATGCAATCCCTCGGACTTCTTAGACTCCCTTTATTACTGTAGAATTCACGGGAGACTAGATGGTGGCCCTTGAATTCAATAAGATGATGGCAGGGTCGGGCCGCGTGTTTCGAGTGATAGCCACTACCTGACATTTGAGATCTTAAAAGTTTCAGCAGACAGTATTATAGAAACTTTGGTACTGAAATCAACTTGTATTCTTTTTAAATGATCAACCCTAGATACTTTTCATTATGTTGATATTAAAATTAAGTCCGCAGGTTTGCTAGTATTTTGGAGAAATATCTACCTCCTGAGGGTTATGTTTGGATCATATCCATTTATATAATTCATGTGAATTCAGTACACGTCAGCTCAGAGTCCTTTGTACCTGCTAAGCGTAAGTTGCTAATTTCCAGTGAGTCGCACAGAGACATAACCTGCAGCCTTCAAGGTCTTTGGGGATGTTTTTACATACATATTATGAGTTTTGAAACATTGTTCTGGGGGTATATTATCTTTTCCTGTTTCTTAAAACTAGATGTGCATCTATAATTACCTGAAAAATTAAGTTTATTCTTTTAAAAATTCATATTTGATAAGCCCTGTGGTCTGTTGTTGCTGTAGCCATATCTATCTTTCATACCTAGATAATGAAAACAATATTCTCTTTCTTAAATCATTAATTTTTCTCCAGTTATTTTGTTCATGATGATAGTGATGTATACCAGCTCTTTGTGCAGTGTTAAGCAGGCTCTCTCCCACTGTTTTATAGCCCTAGCCTACAAAACATTATTTTTTAAGCCTATTTTTTTTCTTCTGTAGAAGTATTTTTACGAAGCTCATATTTCCAGAAAGTAAATCCAAGATGTATTCCCCATCTGTAGAGATCTGAGGTCACTTATCTGTAAAATAGAATGAGTCCTGATACTGAAATGTCAATATAGAAAGCTAATATTTAACACTTCCTGTTACATGGAGACAGTGGTTTCCTGTAAAACATTCTTAGTCTTTAGATCTGTCTTTGCTACTGAGACACCTCTCTCTCTCTCTCTCTCTCTCTCTCTCTCTCTCTCCCCCCTCTCTCCCCTCTCTCCCCTCTCTCCTCTCTCTCTCCGTCCGTGTGTGTGTGTGTGTGTGTGTGTGTGTGTGTGTGTGTGTGTGTTGTCCTGTAAATCATAGGGAGGCTTGGTTACACTTGCCCACTCTGACAGGTCATCTACAATACTCTGATTACACAAATGGGCCTCTCTGTCTCTTCCCCAGGAGATGTGACCGTCTGATTTACAGTTCTACTGCCCAGCCACCCAGTGTCATCCTCTTTCTTTGATTTGCATGGGATGAAAAGACAATGTTCTATAAAAAGACTGCAGTGTAATCTTACTGTCCCGGCATTAATGTCTAGCAAAATGATTGGGTTTAAAGCTCCCATGAGTTTTCAGACACCCATTAATAAGTCTTCTCCTCCTGTGATTTTTTTTTAACTATTAGAGAATTTTACATTGTTTTGAACCAGTAGGTTTTCAGTACTGGCCCTGGAACACATAGTAAACATGTTTGTCATAGACCATAATTCTTCCATTTTCCCATTGCATTTTGGTTTACTATATTTTTTTTAATCTCTGCCTGTATTTTTTTCTACATATGAAAATACCATTGCACTTATTGTGGTCATCTTTAAGTAATGGTCATAAGGGGCTGGATTGGGTGCTCAACAGTTAAAAGCACTCTTGCAGAGGGCCCAGGTTTGCTTCCCATAACCCCTTAGTAGCTCCCACCATCTGTACTACAGGAAATCCATCACCCTTTCTGGCTTCTGCAGGCACCAGCCACAAGCATAGTGCACATGCTTACATGCAAGCAAATTCTCGCAGACATAAAACAAAAAGATCATTTTATGTTAATAAAAATATTGACTGCATTTGTAGACTCATAGTTCACATCAACTAATAAGAAGAGTCAGAGAGCATTCGGCTTGCTTAAGTTTTTCTGACCTGGGGACTTTAGAAGTAGATTTATATTATAAGAACCGTAGACTTTAGAATACACTAATTACTCACTGGTCTACAGAGGAAACCAGGTTATTTATTTACTTCTTTCTGCCTGACTGCTTGACTTTTTTTTTTTTTTGACTATTCCAAGTCCTTTATTGGACCAGCAATGCTGGAAGCTGCCCTCAGAGTGGGGTCCCCACTGTGGTTGAGTCTGTGGCATCCTGGTCTTGCCCCCCCATCATGATGGGACAGGTGGCGTTCGTTACTTGGTGTGCTCTTTCACGTACTCCCAGCCCTCCTTGCCGGCCTTGGTGGGGGCCACTGACACAGCTGCCATGACAGAAATGATGCCTGAGTTCCAGGAGTCACGGAAGTTCGGAAAGTTAATCTTTGGAGGGGCTGGGAGCTGTGGCATCTCCAGACCCATCTGCTGGCACACATACTGGCTGAACTGGTACATTGCTGGTGGCACCACCTCCTCGGCCTTCCGTAGGGCAGCCTCGCTCTTGTCGCTGGGCCCCAGCACCTCCTGGTCATAAACAAGGTAGACTGCTCCCCCCGCCACGCTTCCCTTGATGAAGAACCTCTTTAGTGACCACACTCTGAGCCACCATGGTCTGTCTCTCGTTTCACTCCCCGCGCAAGGGCATGCCATTCACCCGCTGCTTCTGGTCGACTGCTTGACTTATGATAATGCCTCTGCAACTCCCTGCAAGCCTTCTGGAGCATCCCCTCAAATGAGTCTTCCATACTGAGATCTGTTCCTGTTCACTACAGAGTACACCTTACATGTTGGCTCTATGTATCCTGAACAATTGCTGTTCTTGCCTTGCCTTGAGGGGGACCTTGTGCTTAGAGCCCAAAGAAAGACCTTCAGCAACTGCTGAGGGTGGGCTTGGGCCTAGACTTCCAGGTCATCAAAAACAGTGAATTTGAAGTCCCAATATATCTCCTTCTGCACTTTTTCTGTTTTGATTTATTCACTATCCATCTTAGCATTTGGTCCATGTGAGCAGAAAGTCCTAGAAAGTTCACTCATTTGAATGCTCGCTCCTTCCTTCCTTCCTTCCTTCCTTTCTTCCTTCCTTCCCTCTCTTCTTCCCTCCCTCCCTCCCTCCCTCCGCCCCTCCCCTCCCTCCCTCCCTCCCTCCCTCCCTCCCTCTCTCCCTCTTTTGCCTGTTTTACTGTCTTTCATTTCCGGCTTCCGGTACAACACATCAGAGAGCGAGTAGCGCACCCATTTCTCACAGATATCAAAACTAGAAATCCAATCTTCAGACATTTACGATTCCACTCCCAGCCAGCACTTTTTTTCTGGTTCCGCGAGGGTCTGCTCTCACTGTATCCTCCCCTGGATGGGAAGGGCAAAGAGCCTCTCTCTGCATGCTTCTGATTGTGCTCATTCCATGCATGAAAACTCCAACATTGTGAGCTCGACTCCTTTCAAAGGCCTCACCATCCAATAAAGAACACTGGGAATGGGACTTTCGATGTCCCAGGCTTAGGTCCTCGCAGACTTTTCTGTGTTTTAATCGTTGTTCCAGTGTTGAAATGTTTACTCGCAGACTCCCTCATCCCTGCCTTACCAACATTTAGCTCTTGTTTCTGTTGTTTTCATTTGTTCTTGTAGTATTCTTTACTTCATTTTTTTCTTTAACTTTGATAATTTTATTTTCATTAAATAAGGTGATTTTTTTCCAAAGAAAACTTTGTATCCAATTCATAAATGGAAAACCCAGAGGTTCAAAACAGAATCTCTGTTTAAATTAAGTCCATAATCCATGAAAATAAATCAAAGGTTCCTGTGTTATTAAGTTCTAGTTTAATATCTCCTCTTGAAACAAAGAGTGAGGTGAGGCAGTAACGGATTTTCTTTTCAAAGAAAAAGGAAGACTTGAAATATTTTGTAAGAGAGAGTGTCTTGTTTCCGCCTGTGTTGAAATGAATGAAAAGGAACAGTTCGGTCCTTCTGCTCTCCTCCCAGGACTGATGTAGGCCTGCTTAGCTTTAGGTCTGAGTTCTGTCTTGTGTTTTTAGCTGGATATTGAACCCTTGGCTTGAGCATGCTAGCCAGGGCTCTACCACTGAGCCACTTTGAAGCCCGTATCAAGCTCTTTGGGAACATTTAGCATCACACTTAGATGGCCACAGCTTTCCCTTAGCCATCTGCATGCAGGGTTCCTGGCAATGTCCGTTGTGCTTTGGGAAAGTGGTACCCTTCAGCCTCGGGTTGGTCCTGTTACAATACCCTTGTGAACAGTGAGGGAAACTGAGTCACAGAGAATTTGGAAACTTCTTGGGGTCCTACTTCTCTGCCATAAGACTTTATGTGAAACTATCATTTTATCCCTATTTCAAAATAGCGCTGCCATTCATCATCGGCCCTTAGGAAAAAAGCTGTCACAATGTAGGTGGGGAGCTCTCTCTTCTTCGTCTAATAAAATGTAAACAAAACATAAACTGGTTTTGGAGGGCTGTATATGCACCGGCATGCTGTGTGTCTGGCGAGAAAGTCCATAAAATGAAAACGGAGATTAATGTTTCAGATACATAGTTCCCTAATTATACCTTTAATTATTCATGTAAAACAAGTAAAATGACCCCTGACAGAGACATAAATGATTTAGGTAGAATCAAATATTCATGAAATGTTGCTGAGTCCCTGGGTGTGTCCTAAAAGATAACACTCAAATCTCTGCTTCCGTCCCTCTGAACCGAAAGCGTGTCTGTGGAATCCATAGTAGGCTGAGAATAACCCACACTATTTAAGACCCTGCCAGCCACAGGCCTGGACGCGGCTGGACACAGGCCTGTATGTTCTGGTACTGGCCTGAAAGACACATGGAGATGTAGAACACATTAGGAGGCGTTTTATAATAGCTCTGTACCCATCAATGAATACCCATAAAACAATGCGCTCAACTTTGTGGGGTGTTCTGGGTAGCGTGGATTAGATGAAGCAAGAAGGAACTCCAAGATGAAATTTAAGGCCCATGTGGTAGCAGTAAGGTCAAGCCTGTCTGAAAGACTTAACCCAAAACAGTCGTAAAAAGGTGTTTTTATTGATTGTTACACAAAGTTGCTTTTGGGGTAATGTAATTCTTCCTACCAAGGTCCTATCTAATCCATATGATTTCTAAAGGAACGCATCACAGGCCCTCATGACTCCAGTCCTTTATTATGTATCCTTTGTAATACACAATGATCCAAGATCCTCAGGTGTGCCAGAGTCATCTTGTGCCCAAAGTCGTGGAAGGCTGCAAACCCCTTCAGGAAAACAGTTCTACAAATCACAGAAAGCAGTTGGTGTTTCCTTCAAAGATTCTTCCCTCTTTCCTGCAGTGATTCTTCAAGGTCAGAGTCTTTCTAGAAAGCAGCCAATCACTCTAGTGTTTACCTCAGATACAGTGATCCTACTAAGTTCCTACAACACAGCTTCATAATAATTTTGATAATATTTTTCCACTTTGTGACAGGACATGTGCCCCTTTTAATGTTTTTTAAGTAGATAAAGCAAACAGGAGCAAGAGAAATATCTTGGGTCTACATGTTTGCCTCATAAGTATGGGAATCCGATTTTGGATGCCAGCACCTATATAAAACCCAAGTGAGATGGTGCCTTCTTTCAGTCTCAATGCTGGGAGACAGAGAAAAGAGGAGTCAGGGCTCACTGGCATTCTAGCCTAACCAATCAGTGAGCTCCAGGTTCAGTGAGAGGGTCTATCCCATCAAATAAAAAGAGTTATCGAGGACAGCATCCAACTTGGACCTCTGTCTTTTATACTCATGCATGTGTATACCCATGTACACATATGCTCACAGGAAACACACACACACACACTCTAAAGGAGAATACTTTGTGATACATACCAATTACATTAAGTTCACATTTCAGTGTGATTAAATAGCGTGTTTGTGCAATGTAGTTGCGTTTGTTCATTCCCATATGGTCCCTGTAAACTTCCACCAAGTTTCCACCAGCGACTCACTGCTCTGCAAAGCCTAAAATATTTACTGATGGCCATTAAAGGGAAAAGTGTGCCGACCTCTATTCGCAAGCACACCCCCAGCAGGGCGATGCTGGAACAATGCCATCGTTTGTTTAATTGGCACAAGCAATGCTTGCTTTTAAACTTCATTTTATTCTTTAATGCATTGTCCCGCTAATTGAACATTTACTGTGTATTTTTCAAAAGTTGGTGAACAAGTGCCTTTTGAAAGCAATAATAGGGGAATTTATGTGATCAGGGCTCCTTCTCTTGCTTTTAATGCTTCCTTTCCATAGCAAAGCACCGAAACTAATTGCCCTGTTTCAGAAATGGGTCATTAGTCTCGTCCCTATCTTTTATGTGGACCTAATTTTCATGCACGATTCCTGCGTGAGGCGCTGACTGGGATCGCTTTCGGAAGAAGAGACAATGAGAACCCGAGTGCCTTCCCATGGCTTCCACAGGCTTGCCTTTTGATCCTAAGCCAGTCAGTGTATCTCTTGGCAGCTGCCATGTATTTAGCAGCCAATAAGAAGTTGTTACATGAATGAATGAATCAGCTTTAGGGGAGTGGGGGATGGGAGTGAGAATATAGCAGTCGTAAAACTGAAATACTTTTGTATACTTTTAAATAATCTTATTCCCTTTGGAAAAACTAAAGTTTGTGGGAATAGAATCCATATGATCCTTGAGTTCTTGTTGCTGGGGTTTGAGAAAGAAAACAATATTTTTAATATTTAGGGTTTTCATTGGTTGATGCTTTTATGTTGTGGATATTGTTTGTTGTCATCAACTGAACGTCATTTCCTTATGCTTCAAGGTAAAGGGAGGCAGTACAGGAAATAGAATTAGGGGCCAGGATTTTAGTGAAAAACTAATGCCTTGTTGGGCTGGTGTGTAACCTTAAAGACCACCATCCACAGCTCTGACTGTCCGCCTATTGTTGCTACCATACTATGGGACCAGCCTCCAAAAATCTTTTTCATGCTCTCCTGCCTGAGGCTTGTTCATTTTGTTTTGTTTTTTTGGTCAAAGGAGCATGCAGGTCACAAGTGGCATATCTTACGTTTCTTATTTTAGACCTTGAATCTTAGGGCAGCCTCAGGACTCAGTGCTTTAGGTGTGTCTTGCTTTCTAGAAGCATCTCGATTTTCCCCTCTCTGTCAAATGGAGAAAAGATTCTGCCTCCTCTTCCTGAGAATTGCCACCACTGAGAACTGTTGAATTAGCCCTTTGCCTAGGAAGGTAGATGCAAGCAAATTTCTGTCCCCCTCTTTCAAGGACATTTGTGACAAACTAGAATACAATTTGGACTAGAGTCCAAATTGGGCAATTGGTGCATTTATTAGATGTATTATCAAAGCATGAAAGATGGACCATTTGGAGGGATGTGGGTGACCCCCAAAAGTATGGATGCTGACCTTCCCGTAGCCATGCATACGTATAGTTCCCACTTTAGCTAATCTTCCATTGACTATGCTTCAGCACCCCTGAAACCAGGGAGCCATGTGTCAATAGGGCAGAATGGCATATAGTTAGCTGGGCTCATAAGGGATTGACTGGGTTCATAGGAGCAGGTCCAGTGATGGTTCTTCTTCTGTAAGGGAACCCATGGCCAGCAAACCCAATCCCCACAGCTCTTCTGATGAAGGTGATCGATGGCTGT